TAAAGGGCTCTCTGAAGTTGATAGACATTCTAATTTTGATTTAGTGTGGTCCCTCTCATGGGATGACTAGTGGACCTCGGAGGAGGTATTCAGAGACAAACCAGAGAGGGAATACCTTCAATAAACACTTTTAAAAGGTGGCCATAGGGTGCCAGCGTGTTAAAAGGTGTTCCTGAATTGAACTGGGTTGGATGAATGATTTGTAAGAAACATTTAGAACCAATAATTATCAAAGTAAATCAGATATCTACAAAATATATGCACAAGTCTGCCAAGACCACGGGAGGCGGCCTCTCAAAAGACCCACCCTCGATGAAGGACTCAAGCAGAATAACGTGTCGCTGTTCCTGTCAAAGATAGATACCACCTTTGCATCAGTCGTGAAGTTGACCATGTGCTGGGGGATCTATTAAGGTCATATGAGCGCGCGGGACACATTAAACTTTTCCAGTTGGTGGGAAATTTTGAATTTTGCCCGGGTGGCGGCCGAAGCCTACTCTTATCGAATTTAGACCACTAAGGGATCTTTAACGTGCGCAACTTGCACACGAGACCTCCGAGAATTTTCGCCCTTTTCCGAGAATGCTAGGCGTAGATCCTTCCTACCAGAAGACCAGGGGTGTGGCGGAAAGATAGCAGTTAGAAGGAGCCGAAGAGAAACAGTTGATAGGCTACAGAAAGAGTCATGAGCATAGAGGAGGGGGCGAAGAAGGTAAGGGTGTAATCTGGTGTAATGCTACTTTGAGCATAGATTTGAACTCGACTCAGTTGTTCGGGTAAGACATGTTTATTTTCGTAACCGGATGAGGTCCGAGGAAGAAGCGCCCAACAGACTTATTAGTGGGCAGATTTTATACGAGTTGACTGCCAACCTGATTTTACCTATTAGTACACTCTACATCCCCCTCCCCCTTTAAAAAAATAAAATAAAATAAAAGGTGATATGTTTACCCATATGATGGACAGATTTGAAATTTTTATACTTTATCAGTTAATCAAATCTCCGTGCACACCTGATTGTTTTTAAACAGCCAAAGAGACCTTTCACTCAACTCAACCTATAATAATGCAAACTCAACATTTGAAACAAATAATCGCAATACATGTACATGTATATATCTAATAGATCCCCTCCAAAGAGTTGGCGCAAATAAGGTCTACTGTCTACTTCACAAATTTCAAAATCACTGCATTCAAAACATTGAATACCACAATAATACCACAATCCCAAACAAACCTTGCAGTAGGACTTGACAACAGATTTAGCCACCTCGTATAACACAATGTCATTGACTATGGTGTTTGTATATAATACACAATTTATATAATGTTCATAAAATGTTCATGAGACCTTGGACTTCTGGTAAGTGCTTCTGAATGTCAATTCTCTTATTTGAAAACAATGTTTATAATGTTTCAGTTACTTCGTTTGGTTCGCTTTCCACAGTAGAAGTAGTATTGGTGTATCATCAATTAGACAAACAGATGGATAATGATCTCATGATCAATTGTTCTTCTAAGAACATTAACTTAGTGTCATTATTGCAGAGAGGTGTGAGTATGAAGGTGTTAGCGGTCGCTGCACTTGGCCGTATGAATTTGTACCTAATCTTTGTATCTGGTAGGCACTTTAACAGCACGACCACTTTTGGTTGTGTATGGTGCGTTTGTGTGATTGTTATTGCCCGGCGTCCTTGGAGCCATGGTTTTGGCTTACTGAGATTGAGAGTAGGTGGGTTTGGGAACCCGGCCTGCGATCGCGGAGAGTATCCTTCTCGATCACTGCGTTGTCGTTTGTTTGGCATAATCTGGGTTTCGGGTGACGATGATTTATTTTCTCTTAGTTGTACTCTGTTCCTTAAAAGAAATAATAATAATAATAATAATAGATAGCATTTGTATAGCGCATATCCCCGCTCAACAGCAGGCTCTATGCGCTTTACACTATATTATTACCCCAGCAGACCATAGAACACTCCGAAACATTCTCAGCTTCCCGGGAAGCATACAGTGCAAGCGGCTGATTAAGCGCTCAAATACTAACAAACTGACAAGATCTTTCGCTGTCTATAGCTGGGTACCCATTCCCACCTGGGTGAAGTGAGGAAAATTCGTGTAAAGTGCCTTTCCCAAGGACACAACGTCGGGCCCTTGACGGGATTCGAACCCACGACCTTACGGTTGCGAGTCCGAGAGTCTAAAAAATAAAATAAAAGTTGATATGTTTACCCATATGATGGACAGATTTGAAATTTTTATACTTTATCAGTTAATCAAATCTCCGTGCACACCTGATTGTTTTTAACAGCCAAAGAGACCTTTCACTCAACTCAACCTATAATAATGCAAACTCAACATTTGATTTCCTTCTCACTACGTTGCCATCATCATCTTTCCTGACGAGATAGCTCCATGGTTCTTTCCTTTGTTTTTCTACCGTTGCTCTTTTCCAAAGATTTGTGTGCGGATCGAGTGTAGTAACCTGTTGGTTGACATACAA